TATTTTCATCTAAAGTGAATGTCTTCCGCTGTTGTGAAGTGTTTTGGCTAATCCACTTCTTTGTTTCAAGGGTAATTACAACATATTTCAGTGCTATCCGGAATTCTCGATCCTTTCATCAAAATAAAATTTCAGGTTTGAGGTGTTCAATTAAAAGTACACTATTATTCAACATATTTTGAAATATACACACGGTAACGGTGCTATGATTTTAGATATTGAAATGGTAACGTTTAAAAAGCATAGTGGAGCATAGAAGACTGTTGACAGAAAGTGCAACTGTGGACAGCGATGCTTCCATCACGGCACATTTTTCTCCGATCAGCTACAAGTATGGATTAATAAAGAGACCTAACAACTGATATTCACTGAATAATCTAGAAAAAGCACTAGATACTTCAGGAGAGAATTCCATATTTGTCGATAAATATGGAGTTGAGGAAATCAGCACGATGTAATTCTCCTGCATTCATTTCGCCGAACCTAATTTAATAGGAAGGTATGATCCTTGATTTTGCCTAAATTTATTGTAATAATTCATTTGTCCAAAGGCTTATTCCCAGTGCGATGTGATGAGTTAATTTATATCTTACAAATAAATTTCATAATTATTTTTAGTATGTTATGCAAGCTTTTATAAACCATGCATGAATTTAGCTGTAGGAAATTTATTAGTGTTACACCGTATATATCCAAAAAATTTAAAAAAGATTATGGTCGCCATAAAGATAATATGATTCACCCCAATAACACAAAAAATGAAGTTAAATTCATTCCAGCTTCTCCTTATATTTTATTTTTTTTGAATACAGCTTGATTCCACACTGTATTTTTGGTACAAGTGTGGAATTTTCAGCATGGATATCGGTAGCCCAAATTTTGCAGGCAGAACATAGATATCAGGTGTGCGTCGGCGGGGGATCGAACCTCGGACCAAGTGCATGGTCGGCGAGAGTCCTAACCAATGTGCCACCGACGCACATGGATATAAAATGGATATCTGCTTTCTCTGGAAGATGTTATGTTCGATCACTTAATACTACTCTTTCCATGTAACTACCAAATTAAAGCATCCAGATATCACTAGGCCATGTATGTATAGTGTAATAACTGCCTGTTAACGGGAATTCATCTATGTAATCTGCCAGCATTCTGCGAACTGTCACTTGTAGTTACACGAAACAACCGAACGATTTCCCGTTTTACACTCTCTGTAAAGTTGTTCATAAGGTCCAGGTACATCATCAGGTGCCTTTCTCAGCTCAAAAATGTTTATGTAAACCAAATTGAAATATCTTCTTAAATTTTTTTCTTTATCATTATTAATAACTTAATTATATTTATATCAGGCTTCACTAATTATGTCTAGCACTGACTGTGATTACTGCTTCCATGTATAGTGACAAGTACCTAACAACGAATACATCTCTATCTTGTAATTATTTTGATCAGGTGTAAAATATGATCTAGTTAAACTCCATTGATTACCAGTGTAATAAGCATAAGAATAATTTAAATATCTTATTCCTTCAATTAATGATAAATTTCAATACCCCGGAGAAATCGTCTAAACTGTGTGCCATTCTGAGAGAATGATATTCTGAATCATTTCGAACAATAAATCAGTGGCTTCCTGACGAAAGACATTACTCTGATGTCATTGAAGAGTTTATCACGTAACTTATTTTGAAGTAGGTTTTCATAATATCGTCATATTTCTCATCCTTTAGATGAAGTTTGAATGGACCACGCGTTGATGGTTCAATGGTAGAATGGTCACTAATCAATCACGTGGTCAGGCGTTCACTCCCCGGTGCTCTTAGACCTTGTTTAACTGGTAGTACTCCTGGGAAAGAAGAAGCGTTAGTCATGAGGCTAGCAACCTCAGCCTGAAGAAGATTGAAGTAATGCTAGTTCAACTTTGCAGCGCAACCATGAATGAAATGGACTACTGTTGTCTTATCTCTTGAAGTCTATGTTACTAAAAATACGTTGAAGACTGCAAATTCTTGCCTGTCCCACTGATGTTTATGCTTGGCAAGTACATGTGCATTGATAAATATAGTTCGGGATGACATTAGGTTTTCACACCTTACTTACTTACTTTTTACACTTTTGTCTAGTTTACTAGGAGGTCAGACTGGCCGATACTGGATACTGTGATACACAATAAACCACGTCAAAGGTTGCTTTAAGTCACCTTCTTTCCTCATATCTTGGTTCCAGTTCAAACACATCATGATAGTGGTTCTCAAAAGACTCCTTATCACTACTCCTGTTGATCTAATTTTCATTTGTCTGTAAAAATTTGCATTAGTCCTCCTATTTTTCACCTGTTTCCTGAACGCTTCAATAGTTATCTTAAATACAGCTTCGATTTTAAATTTTCTTTTTAAATCGTCAGGTAAAAGCATTTACACACGGGAATATAATGAATACTGTCAGACTTGATGACAATACCATAAACATTACTGTATTTTCAAGATAACTAAATCGATCTGCCAAAAAACTAATTAACTAATAAAATTGTCCTTAGGTGCAGTAAAACATCCAGTGACCACTTGAGATCTGTATGAAAAGAAAACGTTTGCTGAATTATATCTTCATGCAGTGCAAATAATTGGGTCTTGTTGGTAGAAATTGTAAACTTAACTGCTTACGTTAATACCATGTGTTGGATATAGTAATATATACCCTAAGGGAAATTTTCTCTGGTTCATTCTATTCAGGATATAATCTTTATCACTATTGTCCATATGATAATTTATTAACTGTAAATATGGCTAAATGCAAAGATATCTATCATCCCATATGCCACTTTTATGGGAGAAAAAAAATTATATCAGCACAGTAGATAATGAAATTAGAGATAAAGTATAGAATATGTGAATATTTGTACATAGTCATGCAAACCATATCTTCAATTTAATTAGGTCAGGAATAATTAAACACCTATTATTTGGAAAGAGGCAGTATTGCAAGCTCGTGCAGAAAAATAACTCTAATAAAATATTATGAACACTACTGATCAGAATTCTAATTCGGTTTATGCCCTCATTTTTTATCTCTCCATTATTATATATTGTACACATACTGTAATATGAAATTTGATTGCGACTGTACCCTAAATCCACGTAGATACGCACACACACACACACACACACATCCAGAGTGGTCATCCAATTGCATAATTCAGCATGTATAATATAACTTCAAATACATGTGGTATTCTCGGGCAGATTTCATTGACTTAGAGAAAACACTGCACTGGAGTATATTTAACCCCTCACTTAATGCGCTGATGGCTAGTGATGTCAGAGTAGAAATTGAACAGTGTGATATGGTATAATTCGGAAGATGTCTATAAGTTTTTTGGATATGATACGCGTCTAACTATACAATAAAAGTAACTGGCCTATAGTACTGTCAAATGTTGTGCCAAATCAGATAGACTTGTCCATCGGAGAATAATTCATCTTTACGTTTTAAGCGCGATAGTGTATAACTGGAAAATTATATGACCATTTGAGAAGACAGTGAAAAATTTCTGTTGAAAATAAATTGTTTCAGATGATGCAGTAAGTCGCTATTATATTTTAATAACATTTCTGGGCGCCATATTTTACTTAACTTACAGCATAAAATCTAGAAATGACCGAGTTATATAAGCCTTAGAGTATGATTGAATTTTGATGGTCTCAATACTCTAAAACTGTTTACACCCACAACCTAATTTAGTTGGTTTGCCTTAGGTAAAACGAGCATTCTTACTGAACAGACGACCAAAAGGAAGTACTTTTATAGGTAAAGATAAAGTGAAGAATGGGAGGTGGATTAAGGTTGTAAGATTTACGAGACAAAAAACGACTATGTTTATAATTGACAAGAATTATTACACAAGAAAGTGGTAAGGCTTTTTAATAAACTGTTGATATATTGCATGAATAAGTCAAAAATGCTGCTACTTCTTAAAGTGTGTGTATATTTGGTTGTCGTACCCCTGTCCTGAGTATAGAAGGCTATATTTGTCATTCACAAATGACCTCTTCTAAGATCAATAAGTACCACGAGAAATGCTTAGTAGGTTGATTTAGAAGAAAATTTATAGTTTATTATCTCAGCCGATGGCTTAGGAGAAAAGTGATGAAGTATTAATCATTCTAATCAGGCAACAGTTTGAACATTCCTTCCTCTTGAGAATCAGTTTAAAAGAAATTTAAGTTGAATAAAGGATTGCACTGATAAATTAAGAAACTCTTAGTGGTTTTATGCCTGAAAAATGCCTTGGATGACAATTTTAATAAATGCAAATAAGGACAAAGTTTGTAAAACAGTTTATTATCAGACGAAGAGGTCTCTTATCGAACATTCGATGATCTCATTCGCAGTGATGCCGACTGTATTCTGAGCTAAGTCATATGTTGGGCAGTTTACATGCTGATATTGGGATATCAAACCTAAATTTTGATTGTAATTTAACTTGGAGAAATGATAACATAGAATAACCTATAAAATGAAAAACATCGAAGCAAAGTACGTAGACACTAATGGCTACTGACTAATTACAGGCTAACTATATGGTGCGAAAAAGACAAACGATGCATGTAAAAGCAGATAAAATCCATAAAAAATTTATCACAACGTTTTCATAAAAAGAATCTTCATTGCCTTATCAAAACTTCGGGAAATATCGCAAAATATATTGTTTTTTGGTTTTGTTCTGATATACTGAACTGGGAATATACATGTAATTTACGATATCCATGAAAGTAGATATAACGGCGTTTCGAAGTCAATGTTTTCATTGCTTAGGTATTCGTTTTTATTTTAAATTTTTGTCGTTTATTTTAAAAATTTTCAACCTTATGAATATAAGTGGTTGAAAGACGAATTCCTATGCATATCCATTAAAATAAAGAACCTATAGCCTTGTATAAGACTATAATACATCCTATTTAAATATAAAATACTCAAAATATCATTTATATAGATCTACTTACTTTGAATACTTTGTTCTGAATAGATGTTATTAGTATCTGTTTTATAAAAGTAGTAATCCAGTTTACCTTGAAATCTGAATTACTGTATATAGTCTGATTTCGACTAGTTCAAAGTGATCATATTTTGAGATAATTTAACAGTCCATTTAACAAGTTACAGTGTAATATCACTGTGCTATGCATGTTATACCGAATACATGTTTATTTCTATTATGTCTAAAATATATTGCTTTTTATTATTTTATAGGATGAAAAATTATTGCAATTATTAAACCAATCAGAATAATTTGTAAAAAGTATAATATTCATTGTCTAATTTGATTGCTTGAGCCATTGTAAGGTGGTATTATACTGGTTTCTTTTAGTCAGACAGTTTTTGTTCCGAGTTGGAGGATTTGTGCTCTTTTGCACATATCATATCTTCAGGACAAATAATACACATGTGGACATTTTATGTCCATATACACACGAGCAAAACCAGTATTGGGCAGACTAAGTATGGACAATTTTTCACAGGAATAACCTATGTTATCGCTTATCTTAACGTGCATATATTAGTTGACAGGATGATGACAGTTTTCGGTTTTAAGAAAATTGTAAACCATCAGTTTCTCTTTTTTTTCGATTCAAGGCCATGTCTGATAACGTTCATCAGGACAAAAGACTAAAAGTAGGTATGTCTTTTAGGGTGGTGGAGTGAAACTTTACTATTCATGTATTTGTTTATGATTGTTTGTGTACATATTTGTATGTCTATGTGAGCGTGTCTACCTGTCAATAGACCGCAGAGAAACTATTTTAGTTTCGTCCAAAGGAAAAATGTCAGTTTGTGTAATTTCTGTGTATACAAACTAGATCAAAGATCGCACTGATCGATGGACCAACAACACGTTTGCAAAAGTATTCAAGTGAGGTTATGCCTGATATCGCTATATTACACAAGTTTTATATAATGTGCGTGTGCGGGTTCATATATATATATATATATATATATTCAAATCCAACTAGAATATTTAATCGTTATCCTAGCGATCGGTACACTACCAGTCAAATTAAAGGCAAGATAAATACGCTGCAGTTATCTAATTCTCTTTATAGAAGGCAAATAGTTAATGCATCCAGTAACAAAAACGTTCAGCTTTGTATTCATGTAATGACGTATAGAGTATTTAAAGATTGTATAAAGCCGAATCGGGTTATGTAAATAAACAGACCTTTAAAAGTACGCAACCCACTGTGCAATCTGCTTAAAGTTAGCAGAATACGTCGATGTTTGAAGGAATTTAGGAAAATATTTTCAGGGTAATCAGTATGTATATATTTATGTATTCATCATCTAGTCAGTATAAAGTAAGTATGTAACAAACTGTTTAATTCGGAAACTAAACGAATTCCTAAAGACTAATTAAAAAATCAATAGTGTGTAAACAACAGAATATTCATGAGAAAACTTATCAGTTTCTAAATTATCAGTGTACCACACAAGAGGATTCGAAGTTATTTTACGTGCTGCTTGATAAATCAGGAAGAAATAACCAAAAGTTTACGCCGAAATTGTACTCATACGATGATTTCAGTGTGTGTTTCCCAGTTATGCCGTTACATACATTACTCCTAATTGAAATTTTGTTATAATTGTGTCTTTAATTAACGTCACACGTTTTGTGTAGTATCACGAACTTGATTATACAGTGAAAAGTTTCTTTTAAGTGTCTTAATGCAGGGTATTATGCCACAACAAACATAAGAAAAAATTAGATTAGTGTGTATTAATATTATTGCTCCCTTGGGTTCCGAATGAAACATAGGGCTTCAACAAAATATCTTCAGTTTGTTCTATTTTCTGCTGTCTTCTTCAGTTGAGCCCAGGACTGGTCACAATCTGTCATCTCCTCCGCGCCACATGATATAGTGCATGTCACCTTCGCAACATTACCTCACTCATCGCTTCCCATTCGGATTCCAATCGAGATTTGGCCTGGCGCGCGATGTCATTTGACGGTCTCCTCAATGTGTGTCGCATCCATCTCAATTTCCTCCTGCATATTTCTTCAACAATAGCTTCTTGGTAACTTTGTTCCCAGAGTTTCGTGGTGCGAATTCTTTCTGGCCGGCCACCATTTTGATCTTCAATAATGGGACCAGCGAAGTGGGCAGCTGTTGATAAAAGTGTGCAGTTGGTTGTTGGAACTGCTGTTCGTAACACCAACGCCAAGTTTCTCACCGAAACAGAAGCAATGACTGACTGTCTGACTGAATTGACACTGGTGTTAAAAATCGGAATCATGTTTTACAGGATTTCATCACGAGCTGACATTAGTTACAGAACCACTGGAAAACCTGGGAGTCCTGGACAGCTGTTTCGTCCTAGTTTGGAACTCTTCATCAGTACGCACACACCGCCATGATTCGAACCCGGAACCTTCTGGTTACAAGGCGAGCTCGTGACCAGTAGGGTGCAGCGAATCGGGTATGAGGACAAATACTCGCCAAAGACATTGGCTAGGGGTCGCGCTATGTCATGAATTGGCATAAGCTAGGATTCATAGGCCATTGGATCGGGTCCCAGTGGCTTAATGGTATGCCAGGTCACCTTGTAACCAGAAGGTTCTGGGTTTGAACCTCGTACTGTGGGTAGGTATTGATGAAGAGTCCTAAACTAGGACGAAACAGCTATCCAGTACTCCCAGGTGATTCAGTGGTTTTCTAACCAATGTCAGCTTATGATGAAATCCTGTAACCAATCAATCAAATCCCTACAAAGCAACACTTAAATTCCGAATCATGTTGTTGTTCTGTATGTTGAGGTGGCGTGCAGAAGACTTCCAAACCGACTTCAGATTGATGCAGGTGTGTCTCACCTTTCCGATTCTGGTTGGTTGGCTGGCTGGCTAACTTTGACATCTTTATCCGTACCGTATTCCTGTGGTTGAAACGATGCCTCCTAGATAAGTGAAGACAGGAAGTAACCTCTGTCAAATCTCTCCTGTTGATTGTGATTGGTGCCGGCTGTTGCTGGTGCTATTGTTGGTGATGGTGGTTGTTTATCTTGATCACCTCCGTCTTCTCCATGTTAACCTGAAGTCGTGTCTTCGCCGCCTGTTTCTCCAACCACTTTGTTGGTTTTCGCCTGCCACTAAGTCTTCTAGTTTGTTTGACATTGTGTGGAAAATCGTCGAAACGGGAAATCCAGATCTTCTAGAGTCTTCTTATCGGTCAGTGCAGCATATTCCTGTCTCCTCCCTCACTGCCAACTCACAGTCTGAGGGATAATCCAGTCTACAACAATGAATAATACCAGTGGTGGTGGTGGTAGGCATCCATTCTTGTCTTACTTCTGTATTCACTTCAGATGCCTGGTTGAATTTTCAGTTTCGGATTACCTAATAGTTGGTACGCATTGTCATGTAGCCAGCTGTTGAACGATGTAGATAAACATTTTTTTGCTGCACAGGATGGTGTTGAATTAGTTTGCAAATGACTTCTTGGTCAACGATTTCTGTGGAATGCCTTTTGGAAGTCGATGACGGAAGTTGAGGTAGAGATTTGACTGCCACTCTATTCTTTGTTCTTTGATGACGTTGATATGTGAGTTGCAATTTGATCAGTACATGATTTGCCTCTTCTGAATCCAGCTCGTTCTCGCTGATGGCGCCGCGAAGTTCTGTATCCAGTGCATCATTCATTCTCTCCAGATTGATGAGACTTGGTAATTGGCTTGGCGTGGACACGCCAGCTCTTGCAGAGACATAACTAAGTCACATTTCTGTGGTATTTTGACAAGGTGGTCGGCTTTTCTTCCAATTAGTAGACACCTTCCCTTCCTTCTCACTCTTTTTCGTTAATGGTGTGAGAATATCCAATTCCGCCGGTGGTTCGGTTTCCTGTGGGTCATGAGGACTTCAGTAGTTTAACTGCACTGAAGATTTACGCATCTGTCGAAGGATTAGTGTCCACTAGTAGGCAGTTCTGTGCGTGCTGCCGGTGGTGGTGATGGTATTTCTGGATGCGTTGCAGGTGATGATGGTGGATTCAAAAGTGGTTTGATGTGGTCAGCCCAATGTCTTATTTATTCCATCTCCTTGGCAATCACGTTCCATTGAGCATCTTTTATAGGTCTCAAGATCTGTGTCGATTTCTTCCCGGATGGAGAGCAGCCTGGTTACCTGATATGATGTTCTGAGATATCTTTCACCTTTGGCCCGCCTGTCAGTTCTTCTTCAGTAGCCAGTCAGTGTGTTGTCAAAGTGTCATTTGTCTTTCCTAACAATCTTCTTCACATCTTTCTTGATTCACTGCAGCATAAATTGATGTGGACTTGGCTCCTCCTCCTGTCGTCCATCTTAAGGTTCATCCTCCTCCTTTCCTCGCTTCTATGAGCTTCCAGGTAGGTGAACGTTGGGAGCCATTCCTTGTCTTGCCCTTCCTTCTTTCTTTCTAAAATTCTTGTAAATGTTTCTTTGAACATCACTTTCAGGGCATTAGTTCCAATCTTGTCTTATACAGGTCTTCGCGGTGATATATACCAAGTGATGGCTCAGATTTCGCCCTGATCTGATGTGCAGTGAAGGCACCCCTTGTAGTTTTGTCCTCCCGTTTCTGAATGTTGAGCTGGAATTGTAGTGGCCTCTTTCCAGTTGTTTTGAGGGATTTCAGCTTTACCTTGAAGTTTCCTTGAACTAGATGGTGGCCTGAGCCCGCCCACATCTGCTTCCCTTCTTGACTTCGTTTCCAGCATGCTGGCTGCATCCCCACTTTGTTGAGCAGCATTGAGATGAAGTCTGCCTGGTTTGTGAGGTGTCCATCAGGTGAAATCCATGTTGCTTTGTGTACATTTTTGTGCTTGTACACAGTATCTCCGAGAGCCGAATCATTGAAGTCGCAGAGATCTGTGAAGAGCTCCGCTCTGTCATCCATCTGGCCAAGAGCCTCTCGAATCATGGTGTGTTCTCTTCGAGTATTGTCTGCTCCCAGCTCGACTGGCTTTCAAATCGCCGATAAGGATTTTGGTTTTACCATTTAGGATGTTGTCCAATATGGTTTACAGTTGACACAAGGATGAAACTTGTGCACTGTGGTGGAGTATAATTGCATTATGGATAAAATTTATCCATAATTGAACTGTTTACAATTGCCTTTGAAAGTCACCCTTCTTCTCTACTTCCGAGTTGTTTGTATATGTGTAGATTTGGATGATCCTGACCTTCTTTACTTCTGAGTCGAATCTTGGTGTCATGATCCTGCAGGATGAGACTGGTTCCCACTGAACCGGAGCTTCGGCTGCTATTGGCGACAGCATGATAGCCACTCACCAACTCAGTGTTCTCGTGGTTGTCGTCTGTGTGACCAGACCGGAGTAGATTACTGACTATTCAGTTGACAATTTCGATGGTGCATATTCATTTCATCTGCTTTCTCAGATTCCGTGCACTTCTATACTTTATCTTTGCACTGATTTGGTTACGTGAGCCGCCTTCCTAGCCAGCCTCCTACGTCCTACGAAGATTGTTTATCCCCATGCTTATTTTTCTTTCATCGAAATAAGAAACGTGTGTTGACTGGCTACTTGGTGAGTT